TAAATCCCACACAGTGGTCCTTTAGCTTGGTCCCTCACAAGTTTCCAATTTTATGGAAGTAACTTGGGAATTCATGTCGAACCTGTGAGAGGTTTTGACACAGTGATTGGTTACTCCTGTGGGTGTCATTGTCTGTGACAGTAAAAAATGAGCACACTGTGGACACGAAGTCTGTAAAAATGATTTTGAAGGCAGTGAGTGCTTTCAGGGGTGAGTAAGTCGTAAACTGAATTGCCTGTATGTCTACTGCTGCAGCATCCCAACCATACAAAGAAACCTGTTTTATCTCTATATAACTGAGCTTTAATGATTGAGGATGAAATGAGACCCCAAGTGGGCTCTGAAATGGAAATATGAGAGGACACTAATGCAATGAGAGAGATTTATGGTAGCCATTCGAAGTTGATAGAAGCCTTCAGGTTATGTTAGGGCTCTGTCTGTATTGGTATGTTCAGTGTTTCTATTGAGGTTGTGGATCATGTAAGCCTAGCAAAATGGAGAGCGCTGGGTTTATTGCTAAAAATTGAAGAAAAAAAAAAGAAAAAAAGTCACTCACAATCTGGGAGATGCAAGAGAAGACAGAAGTGGAAGTGTGGTTTGGCCATGGAAATCTGGGGCAGCATTCTCTATGTCACCTGGAAGCTCTGAGGCTAAGAATGTGGCTGTTCGTGGGGAAAGCTATGGAGGATAAGGCCAACCTCAGACTATGAATGAGTCTCTAAGATTTGTTTGGTGAAGTCAAAGTATATGAAAGTGAATGTATGTGCAAGTAGTGGCCATCTCTTCCACTATATTTCACATCCTCTTGTAAATGCACACATTTGCAGCTGGAGGGTGGAGAGGTAGACTTTTTTTTTTGCCCTCAGCCTTGCTTCTCAGGCTACATTTAATACAGTAAAGATATAAACAACAGCATACAACATTATCTATCTGAAAGTATAAAGTATCTATTAAGGAAACTAAATGAGTAAGGATTAGTGCATTAATAAAACAGTGTTTTACAGTAAATAGCATTTGCATTTGCTTTGTTATATGACCATTATTATAAAAAGCACAATAACTACATTTATCATAATATGTTATCACCAAGATTGATGTAAATATACTGTATATAAATGTAGGAAATAGCAAATCAGTTACATATACTTTTTAAAGAAAAATACCTTTTACTTCCTTGTGTCCCCCGCACTTGAAACCAAACTCTCTTGTGCAGTGCAGAATGCATGTCGATGTATTATCCATCTCTGACTCCTATTTGAAATTCAAAAGTAACATGCTTGGCACAAAGCTTTCCACTGTGATGCACAGCTGCTTTGATGGCACTGCAGTCCGTGGTTGGAAAAAACGAGAAGATTTTTTTTTTTTTCAGTGTTGATTCATCAGAGCGATGCAACTTTCCAATCACTGCCTCCCCTGAAACAAAACTGTGTGTTGTATTTGAAATCAAAATTCAGTGACTGTCGAACAGTTTTTTGCTCGCCTGGTTTGTGGTGCATTTAAGATTCAAATGCTTACAACAAGGCTGAGAGAAATGTTTGGTAAGCTGTTAACACCATTTGGACCTATAAAATAAAAAGCAGCACTGACTGTTTTATTTAGTTTTTCGCTTCTTGGTCAATTGAAAATGGTCATTTTGTTTAGTTGTGCAGTGAGCATTAAGTTGATTTTTAGCACCCTGACAGCCACAGCCTTCTAAGGCTCCTTCTGTAGAACATGCTCAAATATTCCCCAGAGGGGAACATCACATCTTACAGCAGCACAAGAAACAGTCTCAAGAGGCAGAAAAACACATAAAAACAGACCATTTAAAATGAATGAATTAAACAAAACCAGAAACTAAAGAAAAACCAGTTATATACATGGCTGACATTACATTACTTTGGCAATATAAAAGATTTATGTACTGTACCGAGCACTTTATTAGGAACGCCATACTAATATGGTAGCGCCTCCATTTGCTCTCTCAGTTCTTCATGGCATGGATTCCACAAGATGTTGGAAACATTCCTCTGAGATTCTATCTCATGTTGATATTTTGTGATTGTATCACATAATTTGTGCAGATTTGTCAGCTCCACATTCATGCTGCCAATCTCCTGTTTTACCACATCTCAAAGGTGTCCTTCTATTGGCTCCAGATCTGGTGACTGGGGAGCCCATCATGCTGAAAGTGGCCATTAGAAGACAGGCCACTGTGGCCATAAAGAGGTGCACATGGTCGACAGCAATACTCACATAGGCTGTGGCATTCCAACCATGATTGATCTGTATTCAAACATTCCCCACACGTCACACCAACAACACCAGTCTGGGCTGTTGACCCAAGGCAGAATGGGTGGGTCCATGGATTCATGCTGTTGATGCCAAATTCTGACGCGACCATCTGCTGCCTCAGCAGAAATCCATTCATCAGACCAGGCTACGGTTTTCCAGTCTTCAACTGTCCAGTTTTGGTGAGCACGTGTCCACTGCAGCCTCAGATTTCTGTTCGTGGCCGACAGGAGTGGAACCTGACACGGTCTCCTGCTGTTGTAGCTCATCCACCTCAAGGTTCAATGTGTTGTTCTGAGATGCTTTTCTGCTCAGCACAGTTGTAAAGAGTGGTTATCTGAGTTACTGTAGCCTTTCTGTCAGCTCCAACCAGTCTGTCCATTCTTCTCTGACCCATCTCAACGCCTCTGGATGTTTTTTCATTTCTGGCACCATGCTGAGTAAAAACTCTTGAGACTGTTAAGTGTGAAAATCCCTGGAGATCAGCAGTTTCAGAAATACTCAAATCAGCCCCGCCTGGCACCAACAATCATGCCAAAGTCAAAATCCTTGACATGATGATGTTTGATGCAAACATTAACTGACCTGTATGTGCGTGTTTTTAAACACTGCACTGCTGTCACATGGTTGCCTGACAGTGCTCTGTGAGTGTACATGTGCAGAAGCAATGAGTCTCGTATTGTAACTCTGCAGGCCTCACTGAGGAAGAATTTTGATCTGCGTTACTTCGTGCTTTGTGAAAGAGTACCTCAGCCTGTTAAGACGATGAAGTAGGGAAGAGTGCTGCTCATTCATTTTCCCCACTCCCATTTCTAAGCCATGGGATTCAAACCAACCTCTCAGATCATTTAAAATAACTAAATATTGTACATAAGATCTTCAAAATTATGGGAAAATGATTGTGTTGATGTTATGTGAAAATCCATTAATTGTGATTACAATGGATGGAAGAATTTCGTTTACAGATTGACCCATAGCTGCTGCCGCACGCATCGAAAGACTCAAGGGAGACAAAGTGTGAAAGGAAGAGAGGTAGAGTGCAGACAGAGTGACTTTTCTCCTGTTTACATTCACCACACTGCAGTAGTTGCTCTCAGGCCCACACAACATGATGAGACAGTAATCCGGTCTTCCTTAAAACCTTTGCGACCTCCTTTAACGTGAGAGGTCACACTGTCAGCCAAGTACACTGGGGCAGTAAAGCGATGTTGAACAAGAGATGAGCCGAGATGAGTTTTCTAGACTATCTCCTCTTATCCCACACCACAATCTTGTAGCAGCACTTTTCAGGCAGTCTTTCAAAATTACAGTCTATTGGAGGAGTTTTTTCTCAATTTATTTAAAAAAAATCATTTAATAATCTGTCCATCTGTCTGTCCCTTCAGTCATCTGCTCATTCATATGCTCTATAAACCTCTAGTGCACAGTTTAACTGTACTGTACCAGTGATTAATGCTTATTTAATTGTCTCTAAATGTTTGTAACATGTTTGTGAATTAACCTCATAGAAAAGAAAACATTTTGTCAAAAAGAAGATACCAGCAGAAGAATTCAGACATTTGTTTGAATGATGATGGTTCATTTATTAATTCTTCTCAGTTCTCTAGAGCTTTACTATTAGACAACGGATATATAGACATTGATAGTCAATACATTAATGAACAAACCCACATAGATTAACATCAAGATAAATAGATAGCTCAAAGTGTTTGTACCTCTTCTGACACCTTTGATGAATATGGTTCAGCCAGTTGTGACAGATCATGACAATTTGCATCTACTGCAGGATGAGTTTGAGTTTCAGATTAAAGCACTTTCATTTTGAAATGGTGATTATTTTTTAATCCCACACTACATTACATGGTTTGACATTGCGAAACAAAAAGAAGCAGAAATAATCGTTTAATCATCTGCACAACACACATCTATATTTTTTTTAAAAATACCTCAAATTTAGTGCGACTTGTGAAAAACATAAAAAATATCCTGCCCTGAAAAAGGCAAAACAAGATGCCACAGACCACAACACTGATGGGTGGTGTAGGGTGTGGTCAGGAGTGTGCCCTGTTGCACTAGTAATCACACCCAGCAGTGATGTCACAGTGAACTGACACACAGGCCACGTGCAGACCTGGCATTAACATCCGTCAGCTCTAAGTGGACAGCTCTAAGTTCAGTTGTGAACGCACCCAAGACCCATTTGAGATCCAATCACTCAGACCCAGACCACATCTGAAGGTGGTCTGAGCCTCATGTCGCCACATTCTTTTAGCAGTGTTAATGCAAATGTGTCCTGGGCCACACTGAAGGACCGTATTCTCTACTGACGTCCTCTGCCACAGTCTGATTAGTCCCGCCATTGTTTAATATCGAACCGAAAATATTTTACTATTTCAAATGGCTATAACCTTATTTCATTGTGGAGCTGTGCACAGTGCATTGATTCGCTCAGCCCCGCCTTGCCCTGCTCTCTCCCTCTCTCACCCTCTCTCACAAACACATTGAGAATGGATCCATCTGTCATAGTTGGACCGACTAAAAACAACAACACAAACCTGTTTATTTGCATATAGAGCGGGGGAGTGAGATCCAATCACAAATGGTCACTCCAGACGCGTGTGGAGACGCATTTCAATGCAAGGTGTGAACAGAGCAACACTGTCTAAAGACACAGACTAATATCTTAATCTGAATCAAAGGTTGTATGTAGATAGTGCACAAGCATAGTGATGCACTATTACAACCTCGGTAAGCCTGTGGAAATATAAACATACAGCACATACTAAAGAGAGGCATACAGAGAAAACAGAAGACATTACATAACTAATGAACTGCTGACATAAAGCATCACATATGGGACATTGTAAGTGTAAACATACAGCTCTCAGGGAGCTGCCCCCGATGCAAACTGAAGCCGACACCGATACGCAGACACACTGCCTGAGGATGCACTGGAATAAGTCATCACAACTAACTAACAGCAGACTGTATGCAGGCACTGCACGCTACCTGTTACAGCTCACTCTGTCCAAGGAAGTTGTATAAGAGGGCACTTCCTTGAGTAGGAAGCACTCTGTGTGCTCAGAACTTATTGTACTTTACGGTGCCGTCTTCTGTCTCACAGGCAGGAGGCACAGAGTGTTTGGTTTGGTGTGATGTTACTGAAACGCACAGTATGTAACTTCTAACGGTGACATTAGATTTGGATTCCTTCACTGTCAGTTGTTAAGGAGGTGTTTAATGGGAGCCGAATTATCCACAGAGTTATTCTTTTGTCCATAGAAAACGGACCAAAGTATAAAAACCGGTACAAACACCAAATAAAGCAGTTTCTTAAAGTTATTTTTTGGCCATTTTTGCCTTTATTGTGATAGAGACAGGAAGGTTGGGGAGAGAGAGAGGGGATGACATGCAGCAAAGGGCCGCGGATTCAAACCCATGGCTGCTGCGGTTAGGACTAAGCCTATGTGGTGCGTGCTCTACCAGGTGAGCCACCGGGGCGCCCCAAATAAAGCAGTTTCACTTTAAAAATCAGTGATTCACTAACACTCCTCAGAGGACACAGGACGTCTCATAGGGGCTGGGAGCTGAGACTGCTCCTCTTTTTTTTTTCTATGATAACTTTTGATCGAATTGTTCAGGAGGTTATTACCAGGAGCCGAATTATCCACAGAGGTCTCCTCCTCTCCATAACAAACAGAACAGGGGATTAAAACTGGTAGAAACACTGAATAAAGCAGCAAAAATCAGTGTTTTACAGACACTGTTCAGCGGACACAGGATGTCTCAGAGTGAGCTGTCAAACATTTGCCTGATTTTTTTTCCACTCATAACTTAAGATCCAGATGTCCGATGACTAAAACCATCTGGTTAAAACAACGCCAAGGTTGTTGAAAAAAGGTGTAGAACATATATCCTAAAAATGTGGCTTAAAACTGGATATGTTTGGAACTTCTGGCAAGCAACCACAATGCAGAGGCAGGGATATGACGTACCGTTACTATGATTAAAATCACATATTTGTCTAGGTTTGAGAATTGCTGGAAACATTTGGGATAATTTCAGTACACATCTCAGTCATTTTGGGACATTTTAATGTGGAAAAGTTACATATTATAACTTTAAAGGACATGATGAAGCCAGTATTTGTTGGAAACAGTGGAAACACTAAGTAATACAGGAAATAAGGGGATTGACTTGATAGATTTTACTGTTTTAGATCAACAGCAATATGTGCTATGTTACCATCCATCCAGCAACGTGATAATTTTTAATGTGGCTCTTTGAAAGGTCTCTTTACTGCTCAGCTTGTTTTGGTGCGACTCGTTTCACTCCATCGACTCTCAACACTTTAGCTGGCTGCCGCTCTCACCCATTATGCAGATTCCCCCGTCATGCCAAGATTTAGGGGTGCCCCATCTGACACTCAGCAATACCCTCACACACAAACACACTGCGAGCTGTCTGTTTATTTTGCCTCATTAGCTAATTAGTCATCCACTCAGTCATTGTGGGTGCACTCACATCTTGGCTGTCACTTGATAATTGCTGGAATATGTTGAGACAACATCTAATTTGGACAAGGGTCGCTGGGGAAATGCACACTGAGACCTTTTCTGTTCTGGCTGAGATGAGACACTGAGGGATGAGGGAGTCTTTTGTGAATGTTGTGATGATCTTGATGTGATAGAAGAAGCTCCTTCCTAAGTTGCCATGTGTTGGTGGCTTGAAGTACGTAGAATTTATATTTTTTATTTTTATGTGGTTATAGCATCTATCAAATGATTCTAATGGCATATGTTTTTGTTGAAGAAAAATGAGACAGTTGGGTGATGTGTTGACTGACTGACCGACTGACTGACTGACTGAGCATATTTCCACCAGTGATCAGTCGAATGCCACGTCACTGGATTGGAGTTTCCCCTTTGGCCGTTAGTCTTTCAAAATGTTTGGCACAAACAGGTTCTATTAGAGGGGCGTTTACAGCCTGCAGCGTTGCCAACTTAGTGCATTTGTTGCTAGATTTAGAGACTTTTTTCTAACAAGACTGGGAAAAATTTAGTACATGGCTGGACCATGTATCGGTGCCAACTGTGGGTTTAAGGCTACACCCCTTGTTATAGGCAGTCACCCAGCAGCTCTGATTTCCCAGCTGCTGAACTGAAGGGAAGCGTCGTAGCACTTCCAGTTCACTGAGCCCAGCCTTCATTGCGGCAAATAAACTACTTTCATTACATGTATCATTATTACTACAAAGGCAGAGGAAAAACTAAACATAAGACACACCAAGCAGAAAGAGCAGAAGACAGGGAGGTAGGGACATAAGTAATCGGTAACTGCTAAAGAAACTAGCAGATCTGAATAACTTGTAAACAACCTTAACGGCAGCAACCGGAAATTAGATATTACACTTAATAAACAATAAATGCCCTGTTAAGAAATGAAAGGTTTGTGTTCACTGAAACTCTGGAGGGCTTTTAATTTGAAAAAGTTACAATATGGTTAAAATACTGTATATTTGAGCTCAGAGAGTAGAAGACGCAAACAGATAGAGGTAAGACCAGCTGACACTTGGCAGAACATATATGCAACATGATGATGTCAGTTGTTTACAGCTGTTCCACAACATTTTTCAACTCCGCCCTCAGATTGACCATACGCGGTCTAGCCATGTACTAGGTTTTGACCTAGTCTTGTTTTTATAGCCTCTGTTGTGATGACGCTAGTAGGCACCGTCATAAATGAAATGATTTAAGTGTGTGAACTAATTTTGTTTGGGATATGAAATAATAAAAACTCAGTACCAATATGTTTCAGCATTCAGCTTGATGATGTGGACTAGATTCTATGAAATTAGATTTATTACCTCACAGTCTTTGTCCTGCCCTCAATGAGATGCTCTCTCCTCACAGTCAAAGCCTTTTTTTAGTCAAATTTTACTACAAGAGCAGCGAGGGACACACAATGGAAACAGCGTGGTGTCAAAGAGAAGACATGCTACCTTCACGACTGACTGGCTTCTCTTTTGCATCAGGGACTGCATCGCTGTAATATTCATTCCCGTTAAAGATGGATGCCTCATTGTTCAGCATGAACCACTTGATGAGGCCTAATGAACACAGGAGAAAGAAAAAGAAAGCACAGTCAACACAATTAAAGTTCACTGAGTTAATAATGTGTTCATTACGTCCAGCATATCGTGACTTAATCAGGGTTTCTTGAGGGATTTGGCACCGCAAGAACAATGTTTTAAATAATTACAATAATAGTGTTGATTAGATTAGAGGCGTTAATATGTGTGGGAGAACACTTACACTTTGTTTTATTAAACTACTGGGTATACTGAGTCTTTACGAAAGATGCAAACAGCAGAATTTAAATTCGTCAGTTCCTCCCATCATTGTGCTCTCCATGACTACTACCTCAAATCCTTCATTTCTTCCTTTTCACCTGTTACTTGTACCCCGTCCCTTTTAACACCTGTAACTATATTTCTTCTTTCTCCCTCTTACGCTCTCTAACACCCCGGAATCCTTCCTTTCCTCTCCTCTCCGGAACTCCTCTCCCATTTTCATTGTCCTAACTCTCCTCCCTCCAGGTTGTCATGGCGGTATGTACCAGAGGAAGCTCTACCACGACCTCATGGTCAACTACAATCGGCTGGAGAGACCCGTCCAGAACGACTCAGCCCCCATCGTGGTGGACCTAGGCCTCACACTGCTGCAAATCATTGATGTGGTGAGGGTGTGCGTGTGTGTGCTTCTGTGTGTTATCGTCTCCCTTTAAGTGTGGAGTACAGAGAATGCTCGAGGACACAGTCGAGAGGCGAGGATGTGTGTGGAATTTGTTTTGGAAATCAACACAGTTCGAGCTAAAGAAGTTGAATCGTCTCTGTGAAACTTTTTTCACACCCAGGTTTCTGTTGTTTTGTTTTTGTGAAAGGCGTTCTATCTGATTTATCTGCAGTGACTGTGGCTCATGCCAATGCACATACCGTAACATTTTCCTCTGAACTTAAAACTTTATTTCACCACTGGGAGCACCCGACCAAGTGAGAATATTTGTCTTTAAAAGAGCGAATTCTTTGTCTCTCCCCTTGATCCTTTTGCATTTTGTGGCACTATGGCTCTCAGTCTTTTTTTTCATTCCACAACAAAACTCAGTCTCAGTGTTGAGGTATGCCCTCTTACTTTTTGCCTGTTTTTTTTCTTGAAAGCAATATTTCAACATTTTGGGAAAAATACATTTGCTTTTTTGTGCTGAGAGTTAGATGAAATGATTTATACACTTTGCTATGTCTGTTAAATATGAAGCTGCAGCCAGGAAGGTTAGTTTACCATAATGAATTATCAGAATGACAAATGACTAAGCTGAGGTTGCTGGTTCACTGTGATGTTACTCTGTGTTCAGACAGAACGTGGACGAATTTTAGAGGTAGTGTGATTCCATATGAAGTTAAATGTAAAGATGCAACTAGAAGCAAAGTTGTTTTTTTTAAGTCTTATTTTTGGTATTCTGCCTTTATATAGTACAGTGAGAGAGAGACAGGAAAGTCAGTGTGAGAGAGAGTGCGCCCTCTACCAGGTGAGCCACCGAGGCACCTCCAATTAGAAGCAAATTTAATTTGGGTGATGCAAATTAATGCAAAGACGCGTCCTCGTATGTTGAGACTGTTGGTTCGATTCAGTCAGAGACTGAGCTCAACACATACACACACACACACACACACACACACACACACACACACACACACACACTTTAAACACTTAAAGTAAACTCTCTAAAACCAAACATAATACCTGTGTTTCTTCTTCTTTCATGTATAACATAGTTTTCTTAAGAGAAAAGCTTCATTCAAAACATCAGTTCTTATCTGTGTGTCCTACATTTTACACCCCAAAACACACTCAAAATCATACCCAGACGTACACACAGAAACCCCATTTAGCTCAATGCGACCACAGTCCTCCCTTTCTCAGTCGTTCATCACTCTTTTTCATGTCAAACCCATGGCTCTTAAATCGACACTTCTGTGGTTTGGGTAGATTTTCTGTCACATCTCATTTTATGTTTTGTTCCTTCTGTGTTTGCCCCTGCGCTTTGTCGTGTATTTCCTCCTGTTCCCCATCTCATGCACCTACCCTCACACAAACCCACACATAACCTCTTGCCTGTTAGCCCCACCACATAGCCAGAGCGCTCATCCAAAAAACCCAAGCCGACACCCCGTCACATCCCTGAGCCAGCCCTGTCACAAGACGTGTACGTCTCCTCCTGATAACTACATGGTGGTTAAGAGCTGCACGCTGGCCTGTAACATAGGATTCCCATTCTATTATTAATATGGTGAAGACTCCTACAGCACATATGAGACAACATTTTAATGTATTCTTGAGCTCGCAAATCACAGTCAAGAGGCCAGGCAGTCTCCAAAGAGAACATATGGTGGTCTTGAGACAGGATATGATGAGACTATTAAATCATTTTTGTTTTGAAAGATGGTTTAATTTTAATGTTACATGTAACAAAAGGTGCTGTTCTCAAATGAAATCAGTATAGCTGTTCTAGTTATGTTGTCGGATGAACTGATGGGGTTTGTTTAGAAAGCAGCCTCATACATTAGCCATGAATCTTCAGAAACCAAAGACAAACATACATTTGTTGAATATATGTTACTGAATATGTTTTATATATATGTGTGTGTGTTTGCTACTTATGTTAGGTTGATAACGCGCTGACTCAGTACATAATGGATAAGCTGGCAAGACCATATGAATTAATGCTCACTGGGCAGTGGTAAATAATGTAAAGCTGGTTGTGCTTGTATGTGAGAGTAATGTGGCCTTTGATTCCTCCATCTGCTCAGAGTTAACTTTCTGACCAGGGGAACTGGAGCAGGATGGGCCATGAATAATGACAGATGCACAGACTGACAGACGAGCATAGGACTGGTCACCAACCAGTATGAAGAACCAACATGCACCACAAAGAAACTGATATGGTCCAGTGGTGGAATGTAACTAAGTAACTTTACTTGAGTGCAGTTCTTAAGTGCACATTCAAGGTACTTGTACTTTACTTGAGTATATTTCCATTTTATGCAACTTTATATTTCACTCCATACAATTTAGAGGGAACTATTGCACTTTTTACTTCAGTGAATCAGCTTTATGTACTAGTTACTTTAGTTACTAATTACAGTTTAGAATTTTATATATAAAACATATGGTGTGATGAGCTTATAAAATATAATGCTTTGTTATGTATTTAACCACCCAAGAGCGTATAAAATAGTTAATACTAGTTCCACCTCAACCTCCGACAACATTTAAATGCTAATTACATATTAATGAGTCAATAATTAGAATTCAAGAATATACGTATAATAGTATCACAACACTCACAGCAATGCAATGTACTTTTAGTTGTGTGGCATTGGAAGTTTTTTTTTTTTCTTTTAATGCTACTTTTACTTTAAACAATAATTTAACATTTTGTGAAATACACTTATTTAATTTCTTGTGGAGTTAGATAAGAAGATAGATACCACTCTCACATCTGTATGTCAAAAATAAGGCTACAACTAGTAGCTGGTTAGCTTAGCTTAGCACAGAGATAGGAAACAGTGGCAAACAGATAGCCTGGCTCTGTCTGAAAGTAACAAAATCCACCTACTGCACCAGCACCTCTACACCTCACAGTTATATTTAAATATACCATAACTTTTAATAACTTCTTTTTTTTTAACCACTTGGGAGCAGTAGAAACAAAGTTGTCATCACAACATTGACATATCAGTATTTTTTTAAGCTGATCTGGTTAGTTGCTTGTTTACACAGTTAACATTAGCATTCATTTGGAGTCGTTGCGTTGCGTCTTTTCTGGCGCAGCAGAAATGCAGCCACATGTGTTGAACTGTTAGAACAATAGGGCATCCTGTTCTTCCGCCACATCACAATGCTCTGTTAAAGATCCCTTTTTCAGGAAACTGATGAAAATCAAAGGTGAAACCGTGTGTAGGAAGCACAATAGAGAATTCTGAGATTCATGATTTCAGGATTTCTTTTCTTCACTGTTTGTTGATTCACTCTGCTTGAAACACTGATCCTTTGATCTAGATTGAAAGAAAAAGATGTAGGAGGCTTTTGTTCCTGACTGGGGATAAAACAGAACGAATCCCATAGATGAAATGCAATTTATGGAACACTATACTGTACATACATATGAAAACATGTTCTTGTCCTTGGCCAAATGGTGTCAGAGACTTGCAATAAAAAACAGTTGAGGAGCTTGCACTGAATGCAAGTGTCCATCAATCCCTTGCCAATCTGTCTAAAACCAATCAGAGCAGATTTATGAGGAGATTAGAGTGTTTATAGTGTGTGTGACAGGGCTGATACTGCCCATTGCAGCTGAGCGAAATCCAACAAAACACCACAAAAGAGAGGTCAGGCACAAAATAGAGCGAAAAAACCCAGCAACCTCAAAGCTAAGCCAAATCTCCATGATTGCGCGCTAGATCGCACACCAATAGGACTCAAAAATGTTGCTTTGTGAAGCGCACAATGGGAGCCTGTTCTTTTTCAGCAGCGGAGAGAAGAGGTTTAAAAGAGGGACATATCAGAAAGGACAGGTGGAGATAAGATTGGAGCGTGGAGGGAGTCATGGAGGAGGTGAGGAGGCAGGGATGAGAGAGAGAGAGAGAGAGGAGCGGCGATTGTGTGAGAATCGATTTTTACTACAAGGAGAAGTAAGAGCAGTGAGTTTGCTTCGCTTGTCACTGATGACAGAGTTTAAGCACCTTCAGAAGTTTCTCATACATCTTTATAACAATGATACAGAAATTTAATGAAATTTTATGTACAAAAGGAATGACTTATAGACAACTAAATATCTTTAAAAGAATATGAATAGAAGACGATTCATATTGATTTTATTGGTTATTCAGCTTGTGGTGACACCAAACCTGAGTGTATAACTTATCAATTTTTTAAATTTCCATTGCATCATTGTCTGTGTCCTCGGCAGAGGGCTGAGAGATGCCAGACAAAGAGAGGACAAGAGATGGAAAATTTTACAGGCCATGAAAACCTTATTCTTCATAGGAGGATGACCAATTAATAGCTGAGCTGATTGAGTGATGATGATGATGATGATGATGATGATGATGAGGATGATGATGATGGTGATAATGATAACAGCCTGGATTTTTCAGGTTTCAAAGCCAACTTCTAATTCATCTCATCTGAGCTGCTGTTAGAGCAACAAGGTCTTAAGCTCATACCTGCAATTATACAAGCTTAGTCAGTTAAAGGTTATGATACCCCCGTGGGGTTTTTTGACCACCAGTGGCACTATGGAGCAATGTTTTTACAAGTGGGTTTCCTGTTTTGTTTGTATCATGTAAGAGTGGGTGGTGAGATTCATATCCTTCAGTCGGATTCACGCAATTCAATTGATTGACAGCTGGTGGCAACAACGTGCCAACAAAATGTGACTACAAAGGCAGACTTCTTGGTGCCTCAAACATGTAGTTAAATGAAACCGTCTGCTTCTGTGGTGGAACCGTTAACAACTCTACACATCTATGATGTGATAAGAGACCCCAACAACACACTGTTTTTGTATAAGAGGTCACAAGTGAAAAAGATTGAAAACCACTGGTCTAAGCTCTATAAGCAAAGCATTGCATTTTATAAGTTTGTTTAGTGTTTACTGAAATATTAATCTGAATAATAACTAGTAACTATGGCTGTAAAATAAATATAATGGAGTTAAAAGGACAATATTTGTCTCTGTAGTGAATATGTATATAGTAGATGTATAAAGTAGCATAAAACAGAAATACTCATGCACAAGTACCTACAAAGATTTACTTAGTACAAAACTTGAGCAAATGTACTTGGATACTTTTCTCCACTACACCTCAACAATATAAACACTACATTTTGGAGAAAAACACTGTATGTAAACAACTATTGTATGTATATAAGGGCATGTTTAACTTCATATAAATCCTTTTCAGGTTAATCAGATCAAAACTCAATTTATGAACGTCCCAGATTGACCCAGATTTATCTGCTTTTAGTCTATGAAATATGCAGGTTTCGTTGAATAAACTTTCACAATTTAAATAATAAAGAATTAAATACCAATGCAGTACAATCAAATCAATGCTTTTACAAAAATTTAATGATACATATTTATGCAGATGTATCCGACTAGTAGTTGGCAACTGTTTGAAGCTGCAGTTATGCACTGAACTATATTTGCAAGCATATGCATACATTTGTCCAACCCATTTACATCAATGAGGAAAAAAATATTAAACATCTCTCAGTATAATGCAGTAAAGGTCAACAGCAGTAAAGCTGCAGCCTCCAAAATTACTCAATTTTACTCAACATCTCTCAAAAGTTTACAAAAACCTGAACTGAGCTAGGTGTACCTAATAAAGTGGCAGAGGGGATGAGTGCTGATGATGGTCTCTAGTCTAAACTCATCTTACTTTCATTTCCAGAGCAAATCAATCCTCCTTATGTGGTTAAAAAACTGAGGTGTCTGGATAAAAGAATTATCACAATCAAGTCTAAAAAATGTGTTTTGTATAGTGGCAGTGGTGCAGTGATAAGGCTTATGCTCTATAATCTAATTTAATGCGACAGATTTTCTCTTCAAAGACCTTTAAATGAACCACACTGGTGATTTTGCATGCTTTAGAACATGTTCATTACAGCGAAGCCTTTCCTGAGACATTTATTTGTCCCTTTTGTTCCCATGTGAAGACAATAATTCAACTACCTTGTGCACAGCTAAGGTCAAATCAAAGCGCACTCCTCTGCGAGTGTCTCACGACAAAGGAACAAGTCTGATTCGTCCAGTCCTGGGAGCGAAACAAGCAGCGTGAAGCAAGTGAGAAGAGTGTAAAACTTTGTGATAAGATAGAAAACTATACAGTAGATTAGGTCTGGTGGGATGAGACAGAGAAAGAAATAAAATGAGCAAATTGATTTCATGATTGGATTTTACCACAGTAACATTAAAAGAAAAGTTTTCAGAGGGTTGAGCTGGCGGTGTTATTCCAGCATCAGTCATGGGTAGAAGATAACGTGATAAGTCACTCCAGTGATTTCATGAAAATAAAATAGGACTAGTCCACGAAGGCAGTTTGCACATATTTTCAGGGGTAAGAGCGAGTGTAACGTGTCAGACATGCAGCGTACCAGTGTGCAACAAGGAGCAATGCTTGTCGCTGTCATGTGGGATTCTGCAAAGCACAATCCAAAGAAGTCCATTCCTACTGCAGATTTTTTTTTTTTTTTGGTCTTCTTCCTTGTGCCTCTGCTTCTATCATCTTTCAATTTTTTTCTTGAACTATCTCAGCCTCTGTCCTCTCATCTCTTTTTCTCTCTGTCCGTTTGACCACGAGCTGACCCTTGTGAAATATCCTGAAATGCAGCTGCAGCCACTGTATATTTCTGTTTTCATGACGCTAATATAATTTACTGTAAACTCATCTGTTTGTTGAAAAGCCCCATCCTTTCTGCTCAGCGTCACTGTCTGCTTCCTGCACAAATTGCTGTTTGACCTTTTTTGTCTTTTTAACATTGTTGTATTGTTTAAGTTTTTTTTTTTTAAAAATGGCAAACATGAATTCTGTTGCATTAAATTACAAGAATCTCATAACAGAGCAAAAAGCTGGAGTGCATCATTGTCATTCAGAGATCACGCCAGCTGAGTCATCTGCTTTGCAGTTCGCCATGATTGCTGATCTGTCCCATAATCTCACCTCATGTTTACTATTTATTTTTTTTATTTTCTCTCTCCCTGCAGAATATTTTGTAAAGCCATGTCTACTTCCTGCTGATCATTCTCTCTCTCCTGCTGTTTCCCTCCAGGATGAAAAGAACCAAGTGTTGATCACAAACGCCTGGCTGCAGCTGGTACGTCTCCTCTCCAAGCACTTTTTGTGTGATCACTGTGTGATAATTGTCATTTAGTATATTTTTGGAAGGTGTTTGTGTGCGATGTTTTTGTCCTGTGGGCTCTGCCATTCATTCATTTTTCAAAAAGAGTTCACACCTGACTGCTTTTGAAGGCATAGAGCCAGGTATGATATGATTTAAAGATGCAAATAATAGCCTTTTGTTTTGTGACAGAAAAAACAAGTTAATACATCGCAGTGAATCTCCTGGGCCTCATGTGACAAAATGTAAAATATAAGCCTGAACCTTAGGTTAAACAGTGTCAGAACAGTTTAAATGCAAGCCCTTGTTTTCTTTCGCTGTGACAAAGGCAGTGACATCAGCTTGTGTCAAAAAGGATTATAGTGGATTATTTATTATTTTATAATATTTAATAATAGCATGATATAAGATTTACAGACATCATAAACTATATCACACAGGGATGGCGATAAAAATATCCCAACAAGACAACAAATTAGGTTTTCAAAGATATATCTTTCAAGACATTTCTCGCACTTACTTTCTCTTACCTCTAACCTGTTAAATTTTATATTTACTTTACAACAAGTGACATGTTGAGTTTGTTTCTCTGCCTGTCAAACTTTGCTTTCCTGGCACAGCACACATGCACTTTACAGTGACAACAGTGGCAGATTTACAATTGAAATTCTATTTAATTCCTTAAACAGCAAGCTAATGAAGCTAATGTTAGCTCCATGACTTGAAAACACTGTCACTAATGCAATTAGCTAATGATATGCTAAATCTTTGGCCTTAAGGTGTCGTTTGTTTACTATTGTAAGTATTAAGCCAGTTAGCCAAACATGCTAACAACAGCAGCTAACAGTGTTGGAGCAGATAAACACACTGTTTAATTCATTTTAGGTTTTGGAAAGGCCCAACCTTCTTAGCAACTGAGTGTGGCTCTTACAACAGCCCATTTAACACCACTACAGCAGAGAAATCCAATGTTTGTCAGTTGCTAAGCTACGATTGGACAATCGCTGTTCGGGGAATAAAGGTTTAGGTTTAGTGAACTGTCAGTTGTCAGATTCTTAACAGCATCCATGTACTGCCATCTAAGCATGTGCAACTAAGCTACTTCGCTCAGCTACAGCACATCTATCACATTAAAGACAGTTGAATGTAAGTTTATGGTACAAGAAATATGCATTAAAATGCTCAGTACCTTGAGGAAAATGTTATCAGACCAGTCGGGTAGCTACAGCATCCTCATTATCACAGCAGCCTCAGTCAGAATAGCCCGTTAAGGATGTCACAGCCTACGCTCAGTCAGGTTGAGTTGGCTGCTGACTGGCTTACAAGTTATGAATGAATCAATTATTCAGGAAGCCACCTCTTTAATACTGGCACCCACTGTGGTGTAATGGCTTAAGGGGGCTTTGCAGATGCAGCAGATTTTGAAGGAGACCTGAGAAGTACATTAACTAGCTCACAGACAGTCAGACGGAGAAGGGCCAGGTTCGCCTCCCCAGCATGGAGGGGGGATTTTAGGATTACAGGTTTATCAGGCAATGAATGTCCCACATCCCAATGGATAGGATTTCATGTGGTTTCTAACTGTGAGAATTGAAATGAGCTTACGTTTTCTAAGAACTGAGTATTAGTGTCCTCCTCAACACCCAGCTTTTAGGGCTTATTATGTGTTATTATTATCACTGAAATCACCCAAAAAAATTATTCCACCCAGATTTTAAGATCTTTGCCTCAGATATTCCTGCCTACATCTCAATATAATGTTGGTGAATGGAATTGTTTGTAGTACAGAAAATTTTAGAAACCCACGCAATGTGTCTCTCCAGAGACTGCGCCTTTTGCTAACTTGATGCTGTCAAGAGTTTTCACTGGAACAACTTTCTACTGAAGATATTGTTTACAGTGGGGTTATCTAGTGTAAGTGGGACACTATTTTCTGGAAAGTTAAATACATTCCAGCTTTGCTGTGAGCACCCTGAATGAAATTTCATTCACTTCCACTATTTTTGGGTGAAGGCAGATATCTCTGATCCATAAATCAACATGGCTTATACAGTGATGACTTACATACAAGTGTTCCAAATCATTTTTTGGAATTTACGTGTAGTTTCATGGAAAAGAAAAACCTTTAAGTAAACTTGTAAGTAATGATTTAAGAGCAATTTATCATCCAATTATCCCTCTAATTAGCAGTATTTTGACTGATCTGGCTAATGAGGCTGCAAGTTTGTTTGGAGGGGGGGTACATGCACATCAAAGATGCACAGACGGTCATTATAAATAACAAAAAACAATTAAAAACAATTGCTAAATACAATAATTTTACCTGTTATGTTCATGAATGTGTATATATCCTACACCCTAACATGTGTCAGCCTTAGTCTTACATTCAGACAATAAATTCCACACTCTTTCATTAAGAACCTTGTTGTCTCAAATTAGTGACACTTGCTTAAATTCCTGTTATGTAACTCCAAACCCATTCTTAGACAGCTGTTACCTTACGTAGCCTAGTGTCCTCCTCATCTGTTCCTGTCAGACTACAAAGTTACTGAGCTGTGATTTGTTCTGTTGGCTGTTAGTTGTGCTTTCCCAGCCAACAAACATGAAAAGGAGGCTCTCTAGCACCAAACCGCCAAGGCCCACAGATAACAAGTGTAGTGATTAAGTCATTAGTTGCGCGAGTGGAGACATATGTCAGCGGGAGCACTTAAGATGGTTTTCTTTGAAGAGAATATGATTTTTGCGTCGATTGTAAAATCATTAGACAGAGGCGCACATGCATAGATTTGCAGCAACATGCACACATGCACATGCACAAACAATCGCCCACACAAACACAACATACACATTACACACATAAGTTACGTCCACTTGTGCATATGCAAGAACACACACATACGTACGTGGGCACAAACGGACGTGACCGTAGTGCTGTGGCCACATTAGTAAGGGGACTGTGTTTGCTCCATAGGGAATGTGCCCTCTGGCTACAGCATCTGAGTGCCTCCATCTATATATGTGGCTCCTATACATACTAGACACGCACACATATAGAAAGACACAACAGTAACACACACAAATGTGCTTACATGCCACACACACACACACACACACACACACACACACACACACACACACACACCGTTCCACAGATAACACATCATCTTGCTACTCATTGTAAGTCATGAAAAGAGGCACAGAGGCGGCACACAACACACACTCCTTCTTTGTCCTTCTAAACACTTTGATGCTGGGCTCAGTTAGCCCTTTGCTGAATATGAGCCCAGGCTCAAATGGGAGTGCAGGGGTCAGTGCCAACAACTGTCGGCTTGGCAAGGTGTCACTGCCAGGCTTCATTATCAGAGCTGGAGACAAAGTATAAGAGCCAGCAGCTGTTGGAAAATCAGCCTGTGTGAAGGGCCAGTTAAAGATTTCTCATCGTTTAGGGTTGATCATAAAATTATGATCAAGCTAAGAACTCTCCTGATGATTTTATAAAGTGAGCTCTGACGCATTTTGGTTTTACTTTACCATTAGGTGCCAGAATGTATTTTAAGGAACGATGTTATGATGCTCAAATTATGTATGCAGTGTGCGTGTTATAGTACCGACATTATTTAAGCTGTGAAACACGTCTTGCTGTCAGAGCTGTGAAGGTTGCTAATGTGCTGTCTTGCCAAACACGAGATTAACAACAACAACAGCAACAAATTGGCTTGCGTGGCCAAAAGCAGACTATAGTAAAAGAGCCTTAAATTTGGCATTTGGCTCCTTGTCTGTCAGACTCTCACTGAACTTTTATAATCCTGTCTTTTGTCCTTGTTTTTATGTCCTCACCTCATTGGCTGCTTTTTAAATGAATTCCTTTATTTTTGATGACTTTCTCTGTCCATTGTTTCTGTCAGTACTGGACAGATATTTACCTTTCATGGAACCCAGAGAGCTACCCCGGGGTGCAGAACCTTCGCTTCCCTTCTAATCTGATATGGGTTCCAGATATCCTCCTCTACAACAGGTATGTTAAAGCTGCCTTGTGCCCCAAGACTTTTAAACAGCCGAGTCCTTTTTACTCAGTGTCCAACACAATGTGATGATAAGAGATTTTAGACAGAGTGACTAATGAAACAAATAAACCAAAAAAAAAAAAAAACACTCAAAATTAAACTCATCATCAATAAATAAATAGTTCCGTTATTTTCTTGATTAATCATTTTGTTTACAAAAATAGTTAAAAAAGGGCCATTATCATTTCTTAAAACGGTGTCTTAAAATTGCCCAATTTGTCAAAAGACAAGTCTTGCACTTAAAGATTATCAGTTAACTGTCATGTATGATAAAGAAAAAAAAAAGTCAAATTCTCACATTTGAGAAGCTGGAAACAGCAAATGTTTGGCATTTTTGCTTGACTGAATTGTTACTAGGGATGAGTACAAAAACCAAAATTAAACAGGCCCCAGGGCTGAAGACGAGAGTATCGATAAGCTGACGTTATCGGTTCTACACTCAGTACTTGAGAAATTAAGAAAATAGAGTTCCTGTTTTTTAAAACATAGGGCATAAAAGCGCATTCTATCTCACCAACTCCGTTTCTGATTAAGACACTCGTCTATGAATGACGCATTTTCACTGTTCCCAACCCAGAGGCGAGACCTCTTTCTCTCTGTCTCTCTTTCTCTCTCTCTCTGTGAGGGGCGGGGGCAGCTTTGTGTCATACGCCAGAGCACAGCGCAGCACAGAGACACAGACTCTGCTCTTAGTGTCAATGGCAGAGAGAGCTAAATGTTTTCAAGTGTGGTTCAGTCTTTTGAATTTAAGAGCAGAAACACAAGCGATCCCTGGAAACATCCAGTGAAAGTCTGTTACACACAGATGGAAAAACGTACAGTTCACAGTTTTCGACCGACTAGCTTGTAGTTCATGCGTCAATGTGTCATGTGTGTTCTGTATGCTGCAGCCTGGAGCCACACACAGTAAATTAAATTATACAAACATGGGTTAATGATGAAAAGTAACCGATAGCTATCTGATTGTTATGGGCACGTTCTTTTCTTGTTAGTTTGTTAAGCAATGCTATGACAAAATAAGCAATGTTAATACTATTCTTCATTTGTTTTGTTTTTTTCTTACAAAATGACAAAAAAGTACCGATAACAGTACCGTTAAAGTACCGGATCGATAAGTGGGAGTACTACAGTACTAATACAAGTATTAGTACTGTTAAATTCTTAACGATACCCATCCCTAATTGGTTCAATCTGCAATCTGAGTGGTTCACATTCTGACAGACAGGGAAGTTCTGTTTTATTGTCCAAAGTAGCAGGTGCCTGTAAACATACATACATACTTTGCAGCTAGATCTGTCCTGAACCAAATTAGATATTGATTCTGGAGATAGAATGTTTCCTTTTTTCAAATTTCAGGGCCATTAATGCCTAAAACTAAACCTACACAAAATGTTAATCCATGTACAGAACTAATTTTTGACAAGACGTCACAGAGCATCTTAAAAATTCTAAACTCACAAAATGACATAAACAATTAATCAATCATTAAAATAATTGCAGTTATTCTCCTGTTTATCAGCTAAACATGAATTGATTAATGATCTCAGCTCTAAATATCCACTTGAATATTCTACAACTAAAATAGTCATGTAAAAAGCGTACAAATGATTCACAGGAAATTATATTCAATATTTTATAATGTCACATCAGAATTAAGCATTAACTGGTCATTTTACTGGTCAAATGAAATCCTTGTTCCACAGGCGTACAGGATTTCTACTCTGTACTGACAGAGAAATTTGTTAATTCACCCTTTTGCATTTAAAATCACCCACACTGTAGTTTTACTCTCATGAATTAGAGTGGTTATTTAATAAAGTATATTGACTCGAAGCAGTGGATGAAGAAAGACGAATAATAAAAGCTCAGTTTTGCTGCTAATTGTAACCGTACCTACTGGCCACAGGCGCGATCAGCACAGTGGTTAATCTCTCACTTTTTTCTGTTCTCCTCTGCTCTCCTCTCCTTCTCCTTTCTTACTTCTTCTACACCTATTTGTTTTCTGTTATACAGTACATGGGCAGATACTCTAGATTGCCTGGGCTCTGTTTACCCAATAACACAGTGTATAGACATTGTCCCCAGATGAAATTTCACACATGGATACTGCCCCATTTAATGAGATGATTGAGCCGATTCCCTCTGGGATGACATAAACCATAACTCCCAGGGGCTTTGCATCTGTTGCCTGTAATGGGCAGTGCTGTAAAAATTGGCCTACTGAAAGCAGTGCGTCAACTGGTTGGAAATGTCAACAGAAAAGCCATTGAAAATGTCTAATAATGTGTCCAGTCTGAGAAGAATTACTGTATATCAACTTTATTTAATTTCTGTATTGTACCTTTATTCATATGCAATATTTTAATCTGTTTTAAACATCGTTGTATAATTTCACCATGTCTTTGAAGCAGAGTCACTCTCATATTGAGCTCTCAGAAGAAACATTCATCTGGCTGAACTAGCGTCTTTTCATACCTTTGTCAGAGAATGAGGATTTGATATCAAGAAAGAGACAATCTGTCTCTTGAGCATTTTGTTGGTTTCTTTGATTCAGAGGTCAGTCTAACAGAACCTCTGTCCTATTCAACCTACTAAGCCATTTTGGCTTTCTATTATTTGGATGGAGATGAAGCTCCTTGCCTGTGCTCCCGCTGCTTGGCCAGATTACAAAGATACAAAGAATTCAGGTTGCTAGGTGTTTTGTGAGATTGATATTCACAACGTGGTTTGGACCTTCTCTGGTTTAAAAACAATTCAAGGACCTCCCAAGTCTGCCAGTGAGCGACTTGATTACTTTCCAGAGTCCTTTGTGTTTCAGCCTTTATTGTGGCACCAATTTTGTCCTCAGACACAAGCTGCTTTCAGATATTTATTAGATTTATAGACAGCTGCCTACATGGTAAACAAATCTAAAACATTTACCCTCTACAAAACAGCTTTGACGTACTGAAAAAACAACAGCAAAACCCAACATGACTTTACCAGGCACAAAAAAGATACAGGTCTTAAACAGGTCTATATATGCTTACCTTGCACAGAAATCTAGTTTCTATTTTTAAGTTCTTATATCTCTGGAAGATTTCAGAATTTTTGGACCTGCAAGACTAAGATAGATATACAGTGTACAAGTTTCAGTACATTAGATAAAATTCAGTAACAGGGGGAAAAAAATTACAAAAAACAGATGCGCTACAGTCTAGTCACGTTATTGCAATAGCAAGCTTTTCTTCCAGTTTCACACAGCAAAGTGATGGAAGACAGTTCTGACTTACTAAACATAAATCAAATTACTGTGCAAGGAAATTCCATTTGAGGGAATAAGTGGAATAAGTGGTGTGTGGTGCTGCTGTTTATGTGTCTAAAACAGCTTTTTCACAGTGTTACTAACTGGAAAAGAGGTTGTGAGATTGTAGGCCTTTTTTAAACTGTCGAGCCCCAGCAGAGCATATGTATGTCGTTTTTAATGTATGAATCCTTTGCGTTACTCAGAATCACACATACTGTCTTTCTTACCCAAAGAATCACACTGTAATGAGGCAAAGACAACACGATACAAGGCAGAGTTGAAGCTGATTGATGGCGCTGGCTTTGCAGCTCTACCTTCAAGGTGATTGAGGATTCTTAAATGGGGTGGGTGGCAGGGATGACAGATTTCCAGCTTAGCTCGAGTTGCGTGTGTGAGAGAAAGTGAGACAGAGAGAGAGAGAGAGAGAGAGACAAAGGGAGAGAAAAGGGAGAATTTTGGCTGTCTAACAGGGATGATACAGAACATTAAGCAGCTTACGGTGGGGATCAGCGATCACTAACGATAACGACAATATAGTCCTGACACAGACCCAGATTGAAACTGACATTCCTTATGCATGCAGTATAAATCATGAGTACAATCATACATTTCTATTTTTATGAAGCAAGGAACCAAGAAAGAAAGCCGACTAAAAACTTGAGATAAGAATTACTTTCACTTATTACCATCGGGAAAATTAGGTCATTGCAGTATCAAGATTTCAGCAGGGACAAAGTATGAGAAACACAAAAAATGTATAAAAAGTAAAAATGTAAGCCTCTTAAATAATGAAGAATAAAGCAGATTCATGTCATTCTCAGCTTTTACATATACAAAAAGCAATGGACTTTGTGTTGTCTGAATGGAGATCAAAAGTGTTGTTTAGGTGTTTCGAATGATGACAATACCGTCATAAAGAGGGGGAAAACCAGACATCATTTAGGCCCTGTTCAGACCTGGCATTTACATCCATCTCGGGTGATCTGATCACAAGTACACGTGTGAATCCAGCCATGATGCACTGAAGACGCATATGAGATCCAATCATTCAAACCACATTTGGAGGTGGTCAGGGCCACATGTGGCCATATTCTTTTAGTAATGTGAACACAAATGCGCCCTGGGCCACAGTGAAGGACCGCCTACTCGACTGACCTCCTCTGCCACAGTCTGTTTAGTCCCAAAGCAGTTTCATAATGAAATGAAAATATTTGACCAATTCCCAAATCCAATCTCAGAAAGCTGTGTGTGTGGCTTTCCAAAGGTCTGCATGAAAAAACGCATAAATGTGGATGAGGCCAGTCTGGAGATGCAACAGGAATTTCAATGCAATGCCTGGTCGATCACGTTCGTCTATCTACCCTTTGCCTCACAATTGTCAAGACAAAAGAGTTTTGGTGTATGATAAGCCTTCACACTCATAGATCTGTAAGTCAAACTGGACTATTTCATGTCTCGTCAGCACCTGAAGCAACACAAACGGGACCAGATCAGACCAGACAAATAAATCACTTGTCAGACTGTCAAACGGCACTTCACACGTTGGAATACAGGGGGCAGTGTAAGGCAATTTTTCAAACTTCCTGAAACTGACAATCTGACAAGCACGTCAACTTCAGGCAACAGTTGGCGAGGTGCTATACTGTGAACGCCCCTTCTTCCTGCTTGTAAGATTCATTGCGTCTTGCCCTTCCCTAAGACAGCAGCTATTTTGTCTCACCCTGGAGTGTGGCCATTCGCAGCTATAAACACTTCTAAACATGGTTTACACTTCATATAAACTTGTTTGTTTCATGCATAGCCTTGTCTGAAGGGCAACCTTTGGATCAAGCAACCTTGCCTCAGGTCCCCTACTTGAGCCAACCCTTGGAGGGGAGCTTGCAGCCGTGCCAAGTAAGCCCACCTCCTGTAAGGTTGGGTGTACGGTTCAGGGCCCTGTCAATCAAGGGAATGGCGAAAGCCCTGGTGTCCTGACCTCTGACTGTGAAAACTGGTTCTGGGAGCATGGAAAGTCAGCTCTCTGGTGTGGAAGAAGCTACAGGGGGTCTAGGAAGTGGGAAGATGCCAAAGGTCAGAAGCCCCAGGCTGAGTGCTGCTATGTTGGAGATTTCTCTGCAGAACAAGAGGAGTGACTCTGTGTGACTACGTGTGACTACACAGCAAACAGCAGTTCAAAGAACTTTCTCGGAGTCTCTGGGTAGGTCCATTACACTACCCGGGAGCTACAGACATATTGTTTGATCATAATGTAGTTTGTAAAACAACACCATAGGACAAAAGTCAATTTTTGTCCTTGATGCTATTTCAGGGCTGCACAGTGGTGCATTGGTTAGCGCTGTTGCCTCACAGCAAGAAGGTTCTGGGTTTGAACCTGCCGGCCGGGGCCTGTGCGAATTTTGCATGTTCTCATCGTGCCTTCCTCCCTTAGTTGAAAGACATGTAGGTTGGGTTGATCGGCGACTCCAAATTGCCTATGAATGTGAGCATGAATGGTTGTCTCTATTTGTCAGCCATGTGATAGACTAGTGCCCTGTCCACGGTTCACCCTGCCCTCGCACAATGTCAGCTGGGATTGGCTCCAGCCCTTCCTGCCACCCTCAAAGGATAAGCGTTATAGCTAATGGATGGATGGATGTTATTTCATTCGCAGAGAATGTGCAGAGTTTTACAAGTTTCCACTATAATAGATGCAGGATAGTCTGTTTTCTAAGTCCACAGCAGGGTAGTCTCTCAGAGTTGGTGGAGGATCTAAAAGGTAGACAGCTGTATGTTCTGTATGTGCCTTGTTCAACCCAGCAACAAACCAAAACTCTTTTCAGATGAATAATAAAGGAGCCATTTGTCCTGTACCAGGCATAATTTTGAATATTTCACCATTTACAGACACTTGGGAGGATGCCACACAAAGGGGCTGACTTTCCTTCTTTCATTGTGTTTTTTATGTAAATAATGTAAATCTTCTCTCTGTCCAGCTGTTTGCTTTACATGTAGAGATGCTTTTCCTTGAGAATCTAGACTGTATGGTGCTGTATTTCCTGGCTTTGAAAGCATCTGTTGATGATGATGATGATGATGATGATGATGATGATGATGATGATGATGATGATGATGATGATGATATTTTAGCAATGTTTTTAAAGGAATTAAATGTAAATGCAGGTGACGCCATTTCATTGAGCCAGAGGGTATTAAAGCAGTATGTTCTAGATATATGTATTCTGCCGGGGTGGAGGAGAAAGGCATTCTTTAATTTGCATAAAACTTTATTATTCAGGCCTTTGTGGATTTCTTTAGGAGCACACTTAAAGAATGTCCATATCGATGACTGATTACTCAGTGGTTTTAGTAGGCTAGTCACTTCTACCGCCGATTATCTCTTGTTCTTTCTCTTCACTATGGTGATATCTTCCTTTTGACAGCATTATTTGTTATGCAAGAAGATAGCATATCATTTTCTTTCAAATTTTTTTCTTTTGTTCTTGGTGAATCCCAGTGCAGGCAAAAGGACTCAGTTAGGATTCAATACCTTCATCGTGCATTTATCTTTTCCACATGGCATATGACCTTATGGAAACATGTTCTACTTAGTGATTGGATTAAGATGTGGTTAAGGTTATGCATCAAGGAATTCCCTAGATGCTTATGTGAGTTTGCTACTCATTGTTTAGCCATGGTATAAATCTTCCCATGCTATGACGTTCGCCAATCCAGGCATTGGCTGAACTTTAATTTAAAAGAACCTCTCTCACATTCACCGTTTCCTGCATTTGTGTTTTGATAGATGGTTTTTAGAACAGGAAATTAATCCTTTCACATTTTAAATGCTAATGCCACCCAGTTAATGTATATGTTAGGTAGATGTATTCCAAATAACATTACAAGACTAAATGCTAATTTAGTTCATTTATTCCCAGCAATGGATAAGAGCAATTGCAGCTGTTCCAAAGTATTCTCACAGCCTCTTTGTTTTTCCACCCTACGCTCAGTGAAAAGAGTTATTAGATTTAGATTATTGATGTAGCAGCTATAAGTCTGCATTGGGTAAAGCGTTGTCCTGTTATATGCCTTCTGGGCTCAGTCCCAGTGCACTTTGCTAAAATTTATGTTCTACTTGTCTAACAAAAAGACTTCAGGAAGACTTTCAGCATGCCCCTCATTTCTCCCTCTGCTTCCAGTCTGATAGTGTAAATGGTAGTAGCAGTAATAGATGATAGTGTGAGTCAGACTATTGTCTGGCACTCATTCATTGCTCAAATTGAGGTGCATTCATTCTACAGTGTACCTGTGGGGTCACTGCATACTGAAAGATATTAATAAATACCGCACTAGTTCTGAATGAATATTATCCTGCCATCACAGGAAGTCTTTTATTGTCTCATTACATCTGTCAAAAAAGTTTTATTTTCAGTCCTGTACATTTTCTTTTTTTTTTTTTGTCCATCAGCTCCTGTCTGTTCCATTATTCAGCACAATACCAGAACAGATCAGTCTTTTCTTAGGCACACTGGTACTTTGAGCTAAATGCTGATGTCATCTCTGACATGCTCACACTGCCAACGCTAACATACTGATGATTAGCACTTTTAATATTTGCCATGTTCACCATCACATTAGCATGCTGACATTTGCAAATTAGCAATAAAATAAAGTACAGATGTGGCTGAAGGCAATGTCATTAGCTTTTCTGGTAGTTCATCATGAATCAAAGTACTGGACAAATTCAAATTCTATGATGAAAGGTTTAGGGGACCAGATAATGATTGCATCTCACTCTGTGGGGGGCATCAGTATGTGCAGCAATCTGTCCAACAGTTGTCCAGATATTTTATTCAATATTAGAAAATGTTAACGTCATGATAGCAAGAGGAAAAAAAAATCAAGGGATCACAGTCATTCAGAGCCATGCTGCTTGGTTAAAAAGTACTTAACATATTTCAATTTCACTTTATGGGACTTAGTTTATGCACAGAAATGACCTTATTTCTTGAAGGTGTGGACATAAACTGCTATAACTACTTTAGATGAAAGATGTGTATGTCAGGTGTGAGATAGAGCTACAGCAACATGATAAAAAAATTACTGCTCATTACTTGGCGGCCATGAGCCTGAATTATTTTTGTTGAAAGCCCTAAAATTCCTTTAGGTTTTCTCCAAAAATCATGGTCACTGTAATTGTTTGTCACTATGTGTATTTTAATGCAGATTCAGATTTAAACAACAAATGCAGAGGTCTGTGTGGCCTCAGTGCAGGGATCTGCACTTCAGTGCTTTTCTGTTAATGAATACTTGTTAACTGAATGTCTTTTGAAATCTGTCCCTCAGAAAACTCTTGTTCAAGGTATTGAATTAACCGGGACGAAATGTTTCTGTTTGTTTTTACTGTACTACAGCCCTGACTGTCCCCAATATTTGCAATTACAACTGTAAGAACATCTGTTCCCAGATATGTACAGCCCTATGGTTTTACTCTCTGACAGAAAAACACAGATGTAGTAATTTTCTGGGGGGTTATTTTTGTCCTTGTGAAAAATGTGTAATTTTCTGATTATGATGTCCGTACTTTGGTTTAGGTACATAATGCCTCTCTGTTTGAAGGACGTCTTGATGGCAGACAACCATGTTTGTTTACGATGATCAGCAAAATTAAACCCTGTCTGGGTAGATCAACACTAATCCCCCTCGTATCTCTATGTCACCTTCATTCTCACCTGCTGTTTATCGTCTGGGTTCCTCTTTGCGTCTGTTTTTACCTTTCTACTTTCAACTCTACGACCTCTGGCTTTTAACTTCTCTCTCATTTTTTTTCTCTCAGTCTTTCTTATTTTCTTGAACCTGCTCTAAATGCTCCATTTTTGTTTTAATGTTATATCCAAGCACTCTTCTCTGTCCGCAGCGCTGATGAGAGGTTTGATGCAACGTTCCATACAAATGTGCTGGTCAATGCCTCAGGGGCCTGCCAGTACATCCCACCAGGTGATGCATTCAAGATCTTCTGTGTCTTCTCTTTTCACTGCGTTACATATCCCATATATCCTTTTTCACTGTTGTTAACGTGGCTGTATTATCAGACGTGACGATCGCAGTCGTCTTCACAAACACAATTAGCACTGTCATCATCATTATCACATTATCACAACAACCTCCTCACTCTCACTTAACTCACTGAGTGCAACTTTCCCAGTAAGCATGGTGATCTTCAGGTAAAAATACTGGATTAAATTTTGAAAATTGAAAGGATTTTAGACGTCTAAGTTACATGTAACTCCTGCTTCAACTACATACATTTTATTGCAGCTTTTATCATAGGACCTTTCACATGTTGAGACACAGGCACTGAACACTACTGAAACAACAGCCACACACAGCCTACATATAGAGTACATCTTATGATTTTTACTTCTCAGTGAAAGTAGATTTTTACTTATTGCAAACCAAAACCATGGTGACTGTGTTTTGTTTGTTACACACCATTAGTGAGGAGGGACGTACTCTGATGAGTAACCTGACTACTACTACTACTAAGAAAGCGTGTACATTAATGGTCTTATTTTTAGTTCATTTCATCAGTTGTAAGATTGTATGTTTTATTTTTCTTTGACACAGTTAAATTCTTAGTAGGTTTGTATTTAATTTGTCAGTAAACTAGGCTGCAGTGTTGAGACTTATGTCAGGATTTTACAGTAATTTGATGAATTCCACTGTGATACATCAAAAATAGTTTTTCTCAAGTGGAAGTGAAATGCCGAAGTTAATTTTCAATGAATCAAATTATGAATCAAAATAAATAAAGCACTTTTTAAAAAGTAACTTTCTCAAACACATCTCTCCAGGCATCTTGAAGAGTACCTGCTACATCGACGTACGGTGGTTCCCATTTGATGTACAGAAGTGTGACCTGAAGTTTGGCTCCTGGACTCACAATGGCTGGCTGCTGGACCTCCAGATGATGGATGTAGACATCTCTACCTACATACCCAATGGGGAGTGGGACCTCGTAGGTAAGAGGAATAAGAGACAGGCAAATTAAGATGCATTCAGGTGCATAACACCAGTAAAACAAAACAAAAAGGAAATCAGAGAGATCACCCTCAAAATTACTGATTTTCATTGCTTTCCCAAAATGTGTGTGTTTTACCAAAAAGTGGTTAATTTAGAACAAATTAACAATTACCTGGTGAGTGAAAAGAGTTTTAAATGAGCTGTTTATTACAGCAAACTACAAAAACAAATTGAAAAGAATCTGCATACTGACATAACATATAAGACTAGAATTATCACCTCCACCAATCAGCCAAGTTGCAGGAAATATGGTCACAATCTTCCCTTCCTGAGTTACAGCATTGAATAAGTGTTTTTGCAGAACATTATGATGTAACAGTGAAGTTGACCTTTGACCAATTGGATATAAAATGTCATCACTTTTTTGATTACGTTTGTATTAAATTGTGTCATAATTAATGTATGAATTTGTGAGTTATGGCCAAAAATGTGTTTTATGAGGTCACAGTAACCTTTGACAACCAAAACCTAAATCAGTTCATACTTGAGTCCAAGTGAATGTTTGTGCCAAATTTGAAGAAAGTCCCTTTGGGCGTTACTGAGATATCGCGTTTACGAGAACGGGACAGATGGACAGATGGACAACCCGAAAACATAATGCCTCCAGCCCTGGCTGTCGCCGGCGCAGAGGCATAATGAGGTGTGAGGGCTGATGCTGAGAGGGATTAAAATTACATATGAGTATTTGCAGGATATGCCTGAGCATCAAATTGAATCTGAAAGACTGATGAAGAGTCTGACAGAAAGACTTCGATATCAGGTCCTTCATGTCATATTCCAGGGAGTAAAGACATCCAGTCAGTGTCACCCAGCTCTGACAGCAGGTGTTTCAGTAATGTCAGCTTCCTGGTAAGATGCCATTCTCACTGACATTTTCCTGTCTATCAGTCCTGGTTAAAGAGTGCTGCTGATAGCCTGGAGAATATTGTTGCTGTTTAGTGCAGCTGTATCCACACAATTTCTTCCAGTTGATGAAATCTTGGACTCTTATACCCTTTATTATATAAATGTATTTCATGAGGAAAACTCAAACCTTGTTTCTAATTAGTATAAGATGAGTCCAATTTCAAATACATGACCAACAGGTTTGTTTTACTGCAGCTCAAAAACCTACATTTGTAAGTTAAATTTGTTGTTTTGGTCAAAAAGGCCAAAACCTACATGAAAGTTGGGTGCCTTCTTAAAGAAAGTTTTACTTTTCTTTAAGTAATTTACATTGCAATGGATTCCTGATGTGATATCTGCTTATTTCCATAACATGTATCTGTCAGTGATCTGTCTTGAGTCAGTAAACAGTGGGCAGTCAGGGAATTAAGGGACTAAGGGCTGAATGATTCTCATTGTTTAGAGGATTTATTTTATTGCTAGGCATGTCATAGCAGCACATTGGGATTTCCCACCATTCCCAGCAGCTCAGTTTATTATTCCTTGTGTTACCTTGTTTCTTTCTTGGTCCTACCTGTCAGTTTCTCTCTCTCTCTTTTCCCAAGAAACAAAGAAAGAGAAAGACTGACAAGTTCAAGAAAAATATAAATATACTGATTCTTTCTCTTTGTTCCCTCTCTCTCTCTCTCTCTGTCTCTGTGTGTATGTGTGTGTGTGTGTGTGTGTGTGTGTGTGCAAATGAAGAACTCTCATCATCTCTAACCTAATTTTGTGTGTTAATCAGAGGGCAACAGAAGAGTTCATATTCATACACACAAACATGCGTACACACAAAGTCAGCGGACCCAGCTGGCTGGGGGAATGAAGGGGGAAGCCATGGGTGTGTGTGGTGACAGCTGGCCCAGGGATGGTTCACTTAATTCAGGCACAGCCAGGCGGCAAGCTGGCCAAGAACACACACTGTCCTGGTACCTCAGAACATACCCATGCCCATGCCAGTGAATACACATACACCCAACCAACCCCACACACACACACACACACACACACACACACACACACACACACACACACACACACACACAGGATGTGGTGGATGCATCTGCAGGTCGGCAATCCATCAAATTAGTAGATGGCTAACAAAAGCTATTTCTGTTCAGCATTCAGGTGACACAGTTTAAATGAAATGAAATGGAATCCATGCAATTAATGTGAATTGAATTTCACTGCACACAAACACACACACACCCCCTCTCTGGGCTTAAATCAAGTTTGTTTTGGTGACATCTCATCCCAAATGAGTTGCGTATTTTGAATATGTTCCTGATTAAATATCAAGGCTTCATTCAGAATTCAGAATTACTAAACACAGCTGATACAGACAGCTGTGCAATGATGCTTGAACCTTAATCAAATCCATGGCACTTGATTTTTACTCACCATTATTTGTTGACTAACGCACAAGTAACTTTCCATCACTCTTTCACACAGAGACACACACACACACACACACACTCACACACACGTTTGAATTTGAGCAGACCAAAGTGATTTAAATGTGAATATGCCAATAAGACAGATAATGAGCAATGGCGTACTTGTGAGTGGTTTGTAACAGTTTTGGAGGCATAGTGAAGTGATTAGACATTGACTCAAAATCTGAAGGTTGCAAAGTTCAGATCTGAATGTATGTTAAGCCTGTACCATAAAACTCATGTTTACTATGTATGTTCACACATCCAGTAAACATACTGTATGTTCATATGTATTTGTTTGCAGGTGTGACTTGTCAGTGTGCAGATTTACAGTTATATAATCTTTCTTCTTGCTAACTTTTTCTTAATTGCCATTTTCCTACCCTGGTGCACCTGCTGGGCTCCATTACAGACGAAAAGCAATAATCTGTAGCTAATCAACCACAGATTCAGAAAACAAAGTCTGTTGTTGAACAGGAATCTACCATTTTGCAACAACATTAAATTTGCTGTGGAAAAAACACAGTATTTCTGTAAAGCACAAAGTTAAGGACCTGGGACTTGACTTTGGACCTCTGTCTGACAATAGACGTGGCTGTGCTTTATAGTGATTTTAGATTTAGCTAAAATCTATTTTCATACACAAGGTGAAACAGTGTGGAGTAGATTACTGTTCTATATAAAAAAGATTGCACCATTACATCATTGTATTATGCTTGTATTTGCTTTGGCGGGCCACATCCGGCCCGCCAAAGCAATTGGAGTGGCCCACTTAACGATCCCAGACAATCCCTCTAAACATCAACCAATTTTTATTAAATTGCATTTTCCTATCATAACATCATAACATATCCGTACTTAAAGGTTGGCATTCTAATTAAAATTGACCATAGTTATGAGCTATTTATAGTTAATAGTGGCTCATCTTCACCTCCTCACACAATGGTATATTCTGACGTGACTTTGATCGTGACCGAGCCAGCGTCAAGCTGCAAAGTTCTGAGGTGGGAATCTGTCATGAAGGTGATTGTGTCCTGCATAAACTTCATCAGAGCAAACGGACTTAAACACAGGCAGTTCCAAGCCTTTCTCTCCGAGCTAGAATCAGCCCACGGAGACGTGCTTTACCACACTGAAGTCCGCTGGTTAAGCCGGGGCAGAGTTTTGAAGCATTTTTACCACCTGCTACCTGAAATCAATGCCTTTCTCCTGACAAAGGGAAAAACTGTCCCAGAGCTGATCGACACAGAATGGAAATGGGACCTCGCCTTT